CATAAGGATACGAAGAATGAGAAATCAAAGATTAATTTTTGTTCAAAGACACAATGTATGCAAATACTAAATTGAAATAATGTGAAAATGTTGTAAAATAATAAAAAAATATTAATAGTCAAGATTAATTTTGTTTGTTAATCAAGATAGATGTGCATTATTGTTGAAGCATTGTTTTTCATCTAACTGACAAGGTTTACAAAGGTTTGAGGGAATTCGTGAAAAGAAGTTTAAACTGAAGGAAGAACTACCTTACTACCATTTTATTCTTGTTTTCCTGTCATTTCAGTTCATTTTCTATCTTTATTTTACTTTTACTTTTACTATTTGTGTTTAATTTTTTCCCAAATGTTATGAATTGTTTTCAGCATTTACTTTCCTTCAAAGCTACACTGTTTCATACAGTTAACATGTGTCTGTGTGTCAAGCAATATTTCACTATTCCTTATGCACTTAGAAGATAAAAAGACCATATGGCCTTGTCTATTTCTTTGATAATTTTCTCTCTCCTTAACCTTGTATACATTGAATATTGGAGACTAAATGAAACGTGTTAAGTGAGTGTTGTTTTGGACTTACAAAATCTTTTTTCTTTTTTCTCTCTTGATTGCTCTATGTTCTCCTTCATTTTTCAAGTTCTTCATCATTTTCTAGATTTCTTTAAATCCTTCAACTAAAAAAAAAATTATGCATCATTAATTCTTTTATTTATAAAAAATGGGTATTTATAAATTGTATAATTTTTTTTTAAAGTTTAAATGTTAATCAAGTAAAGAATGCAAACACTGGAGAGAAATTCTTTGTACATTTCATACCAAACTAACAAAATACAAGAACCCTTTTATACTAAGGTGTGATACAAGAATACAAAAGAGAAAAAGTAAAGCTAACTAACTTGAATATATTATGTGGGAAGAAAAGAGGAAGAAAACGAGGAAAGGAGGAAATGAAATTGAATTCTTCTATTTTTGTTGACAATTTATTACAGCTATTTATATACAAGACTAATATTGCATTAAAAGAAAACTAATCCTAATTACAAGAATAATTAAGCATATAATCATATGTCTTTCCACAATTGGACATGTGTAATATAACATGTGTGTAACTACTCTCTTATAGAAACCATCTATTTAACACTCTCCTTTCAAATAAGTATTATGAGCACATGAATGTTCAGAATACGCATTTTGCTGAGTAAAAATTAAAATTGTCCTGGTAGTAATGTTTTGGTAAACAAGTTAGCTAACTGGAGAGTGGTATGTATATAACTTGGCTTGATAAGTCCTACAATCACCTTCTTTCTCATAAAGTGACAATTTACTTCTATATGCTTTGTTCTTTCATGAAACATAAGATTTTTGAATATATTTAATGTAAATGGATTATCACAATACAATTCATGAGAGAAAAAATATAATTAATTACAAGAAATCAATAAACTAAGAATTACTAAAGTAACAAGTTATTAACAACTTGCATGACTACCACGTGCTTTTTAGTATATCCTATCATGTGTTCTTCACGTGGTCCTCCCTTCAATCAGAGGTACTCTTTTATTACTTCAAATATAATCAACACTCAATAACCGTTCACATTATCGCTCCCTTTCAAGATGTGTGTGAATATTATGAACACATCTTGTTAAGTAAATAATGAAATTGCTTTGGCCATAAAGCCTTGTGAACAGGTCTACAACCGGTAAATGAGTGTGTACCTATGCTGGTTCAATTACTTTTTGTACCTCTTCACGAATGAAATAGCTGTTCATTTCAATGTGTTTAATGCATTCATGAACGGTAGGATTTTTACAGATATGGATGGCAAACTGATTATCATAACATAAGGATTTTAACCATATAATTTTCACTATTGGATTGACAAGTGTGACACGAAATGACTTGAAAATTACTTTGTGCTCTAGAAAATGGTCTATCGGATATGGACTCCCATGGTGCCTACAGTAGGATGAAGAGCTCAAAGAGTTTGAGAGGTGTAAAGGGCTTTTTGTGGTAGGAAAAGAAAACATTGCAAACAAGTAAAGGATGACCGGAGGTCGCAGAGAGGAAGATTATAGCAGTTCTTGAAATACTAAACGTCATGATAGATGGAAAAAAGTAAGAAGAGAAAAGGTAGACAATGTATAAAAAGGCTAGAGAGAAAAGCTTTAAGTGAGAGTAAGGTGGTTCCGAAAAATGAAAGTCCCCTCAAATGAATTGTGAAAGTTTTATATATATAATGCTAGAAATAACAGTTACTCAAGAATAGGTTTTAATGTGTATAATGAATGGCATTATTATAGAGGGTTTTAATGTGAGTGATCATTATTATAATCCATCATGTGGATATTAAAATAATAATTTTATTGCTTATAATGAGTAATAGTTGAAAACTTAATACGTGTCTGTTGGAGTAATTGACTGTAAGACTTATTCTCGAGTAATAAAGAAGAGGTATACATGAAAAACTATATGAAAACAAGTTAAGAGAAGAAGGTATACGTGAACAAGTACAAGAGAAATAGATAAAAGGGAGAAACATTTATACTTCAAGAAAAGGTTAAGAGGAAGACCTCTTAACTACCTCTACATCTGAGCCACAAAGTCCAACTATTTGGAACATTCCATGATGAATGTAACCCATGAACCCTATCACTTATTCTAGATTATTTGCACTGTTATATATGTAAAGTGGTTATTCTATGCGAAATAGTTGTTCTACTTATGTGTTCCATCATTTTAGTTGGTCCATTTAAATTAGTAATTCACTTCTTTTAATTGTTCTACAAGAAGTAGTGCTTCACTTATGATAGTTGTTCTCATTATTCTCTATATAATATTATGCTATAAAATAATTCTTTAGATAATAGATATTGACCAAAATAAAGTATCTACAAGAGGTGGTAGCATTAGGGGAAAAAGTAAGAAAGCCAAAGGTTCAACCTCCACATCTAGTGGCTCTAGCAGAAATATTGATGATTTAGGCCATTGGTCCTTTAAATATTGCATCTTTGCAAATGTCAAGTCAGCCACCATTTGTCAAATGTGCCAACAGCGTCGATAAATATTCATTACTACACCAGACTTATTTGCCTGGATGGATAGACATTGATCGACTTTGTCTGTTAATGTCTAGAGCCATGGCGTGGGCCTATAGAGCATAGCCAAAAAAAGAAAAAAGGTTTCCATTGCTCTTTCCATCTTTTAAATCAAATTTGGTATGACATAGTGCAGCTGTCACAGGGTCATTATCCTCTCCCCAGAAAACGCGTTTATAGGGATATGCAGCACACCCGCTTATAAAGAGCCCAAGACTTCCCGTTTATATCTAATGTGGGATAAAGGCACCCTTTGTGACATTCTCTTCCATCCGATTTTGGCAATGCCCTCGTTGCTGTCGGCCACCCTGCCTACCCCGGTCCGTTGAGGCGCTTGGTGTGAGTCAGACGAGGTTCGGTATGCTCTGATACCACTTGTCACATGGTCATTACCCTTTTCCCCATAAACGCGCTTATAGGGATGTGCAACACACCCGCTTATAAGGAGCCCAATACCTCCCGTTCCTATTCTATGTGAGATAAAGGCACTCTTTGTGACACAACAACATGGAAAAACTGATGTTAAGCGAAAAGGGAAAAAGAGTTCATTGTATGTTTATGTTGTTGCCATGTGAACTATATATAGTTATTCTAGGTAAGTCCAACCTTTCAACTTGACTTGTTCCATGTGGCAGCAGAGTCAAGCCACTGTATTCATATGTAATTTCTACTGTTATAACTTATGCAAAAAATATATTTGTAACAAGCTTGAGGCTTTCAAGTGGATTGTAATGGAACTACTTGCAAATGATAGGCTACAGTGGTTTCTGCACGAATAAATAAATTGTTGTAACCCTTTTTTCAAAAAAAAAAAAAAGAACCTTATAACGAGCTGATGCCATTGAACTGTATTTTGCCTCTGTTGAACTATGTACCACTATAGTATGCTTTTGAATTTCCAGCTCAGTGAAGAACCTCCAACAAAGATACTAAAACTTGTTACAAACCTTCTTGAATTAAGGCACCCTGCCTAATCACTGTCTGAGTAGATTGTGATATCTAACTTTGAATTTAATTCCTTGTGCTATTGCAGCTTTTAAGTATTTCGACACCTTGTGTGCTGCCATCAAATGCACATGTCCTAGTCTATCTATGAACTGTGACAAAACCTGAATTGCATAAGCAATATCAAGCCTTGTGAGCATCAAATATAACAATTTACTTATAAGTTGTCTATATGTTGTAGAATCTATCTTCAGATTCTACCTTGCTCAGTTTATAATTATAGTTAATAGGAATTGACACTGATTTTGTACTCAGAAAACCATATTCTTCAATAACATCCGATGTATTCTTTCTTTGGCGTATCAAAATGCTTGGTGGTGATCTTGTAACTTCGAGTCTTATGAAGTATTTTAATTTTCCAATATCGTTAAGCTTAAATTGAGTGCTCAAATAAGCCTTTTAAACCATAGGTAACCTGTATTGATGGCCTTCCAATGACAATGTCATCAATATATATTGGTAGTGCCACAAAATCTCCACATTAAAAAACCTTTATTATTGACAATTTATAAGATAATTTTATATTAGAATACTATTAAGAAAAGGCTATCTTAACCTGTTCACAAGAGTGGATTTAAGATGGGGATGTATAATGTAATAAAATTTATTCAAGGTAGGATTTTACCAAAAACAATTCCTGGTGAGACTATGCACTAGTAATTTTATTATTTTTTTACAATTAAAAGCTCTTTTTTTGGATAAATTACATAAAAAATTCTATAATTTGAAACGGAATAAAATTGAGTCCTAAACTTTAATAAAGTGATGCTTAACTAGCTTATTTTACTAGCTTCTGGTTTATGAGAGAAAATGAATTCTAGAGAGAGAAAGTGAGAGCCGAAGCTTAGGCAATAAAGTAAAAAAGAAACATAGGAATATATGATCCATGATTGGTGTCGGAATGCTGTCGAAGCATAGCCAAAGATTGACCATGAAACTTACGTAGGGAATTTAGGATGAAAATTTGATGTTCGAAGGTGAGGAGAAAATGGTTCTAAAGAGGAAAACTGTGACATAACGAAGGAGGAAAGATAGAAAGAAGGAAGACGAGATAAAGATGATGACTATAGCCATGATTGTACGATGACTTGTGAGAGGTTTGCTGCAAAGAGTGACTCGAATTGGAGCTCAACGGAGAAGAAAGAGGACAAAAATGGAAGAAAAGAAAAAGCCATGTGACAAATTGTAATAAAAATGGAAACTTAGTTAACGGAGTTAACTTTTCAATTAACGGACGAAGGCAAATTTATTTACCTTTTTGTAGTAATATGTATTTTGATTAACGGTAAAAATCATTGAAGACCCGTGGAGAAGACTGGTAGCAGAAGCGGAGCGAAAGAACTCAACAACAAAGAAAAAGAAAACTTGTAGTGCTAATAATAATTTTTTTAAATTTCTTACGCCTGATCTGCTCTAAGCTCAACAGTCAACCGTTCCTCTTAGAACCCTAATTCAGGTAATTTTTCTTTTCCTTGTTGTTTCTTCGATCTGATTCAGTTGCCTACGCTTTCCCATCAAAAGCAAGAAAATGGTGAACGTTTGAATTTGATTTGAAGCTTATTTAAGTCCATTTTCGGACTACTTTCTAGCATTAGCTTTATTGATTTAAAATTTCAATGAATTATGTTCGTGGTTTTAGGGTCTTCATGCTTGGCAAACTCTTGATTCAGGATTCCACTAAAGCATCATGGTATTATTTCTCAGGAAATTGCTTCTTTTCTTTTTTGTTTTTTTGTTTTACTTAATCAAAAGAATATTTATATATGAAAAACTTATGATGATTTTTTCTTTAATCATGTGCAGAATTACCTAGTAGGAGCTTTCAAGCCGCCATGTAATATTTTCATTTCATTTGCAGATGGAAGAAGCCGTAAGCAGGTATATCTTGCTTCTAAATACTATTTTTTTTCCCAGTCCAATCACAAGGGATAAAAAAATTTAGGTAAAAAGCAAAAAAGTGCATGTAGATACAAAATAAAATGCATGATTTACTTTTATATATAACAGTTATGTTAGAATTGATGTTGTGTTTTAGCCATTGTTCATTTTAATCAGATATGAGTTTTCTGCTATTTGACTTACCTTTAAGCAATTTTATAAGGAAGCAAAAAGCACAGCGAAACATATTCTATGTAATTTCCAAGCAGCTATCAGAGAAAGTTGTGGTTTAAGTAATTTCCCATAACAAATGTGTTTCACTTTTTGTTTTGTATGCAAAATTTTGCATATATAGTTTGTAATTTTGTTGCTTTGAACTCATTTAACACTCCTGCCTCTCATTTTTCTCTTTTCTAATGTAGTCAACTTTGCCAAGAGTTATAATCTTGAGTTTTAAGATGAGATGCTTTACTTTTATTTCAGGCTGTTTGTTTGGCATTTTGTCTTCCAATATACTCTTCTTACGTTAATGTTCTTTTGTAGGTTCCACTAAAGAAGGAAAATGGGAAAACAGTTATGGTTGCTCTCTTCCAAAGCCAAGAAAACATTGTAGGAGAGGTATTGTTTTGTGTAGCCAATTTGGAACTTATTGAGTTTATCTGGTTATTTTATGTAAACCATTTTTGTGATTATTTGCAGTCAAAATTGTATGAGTGATTTGAATTTTTATTACTAATATTACAGGTAGTTATAGAACCAATACAGGGGAAGAAGGTTGAACATAATGGTGTTAAAATTGAGCTCCTTGGTCAGATAGGTGTGGTTCATTTGCTTCATGTCTTTTGTTTTAGGTCTGTCATTTGACTATTAGCTCAGCATATCTATATAGCGGCTATTACTTTAATGTGTTGCTTTTTTAATCTTTAAAAGTTACACATATTTAGCCTGAGTCTACTCATAATAATGCTTACCGTTATGTTGTTTTACTCTTTCTTATAGTTGAGTCTGTTCTGTACTTTAAAGTTAGATTGTCTTCTGTAGTGATACTTGGTTGCCAGAGTTTGTCAGTAATATGTTATAGTGGAGGATGATTTCCGTATGTCGTATGATGCCCCTATACCTGGACCATGACATTTTTTTTTCTTCTTTGCAGAATTGTATTTTGATAGAGGCAACTTCTATGATTTTACCTCTCTTGGTGAGTGTATTTGATCATAAGAGAAAAAACTTAAAGTCTTTGATTTAACCAGCAGTTTTAGCATTCCTACAAGTTTTACTATTTATTTTCCAATTGATCCTTTCCCCACTCCACCGCTCCCTTTTCCATGTCTGTTGAGCCATTATATATCTGTTTCTCCTTAAATTGATTAGTAATGGTATGCTGCTTCTAAGTTTACTCCACTTTTCAATCTTTGCTTGCAGTACGTGAACTTGATGTTCCTGGTGAATTATATGAAAGAAAATCATATCCATTTGAATTTTCTACGGTGGAGATGCCATATGAGTCGTACAACGGAGTCAATGTTAGGCTTAGGTTGGCTATTCCTTTCATTTCTTCATTGGTTTTCTGATAAACTTTTAATGCATGTAGAAATTATCCTTTTCTTGAACAATCTTTTGACTGTTACTGTGCTTATTTGAGTTATCCCAGTGATGTTGGAGTATGAAGGACATAAGCTTATGTCTGCTTATCGTAGCTTTCTAAATGGTTACCGCTGCTTTCGTTAGTGTCACGTTTTATTTGTGGAATTCAATTTATTGTTCATGTTTGTTATTGAGATTAGAGATTATTGCCATTAACTTACAGAACATGTGCGATAATATAGTGACCAAGAATCTATTAGAATAGGATATTAACACAAAACTAATCTATCTAAACTTTCTTGCAAATTTATAGGTATATACTGAAAGTGACAATCAGTAGAAACTATGTCAGCAACATTGTGGAGTACCAAGATTTTGTGGTAATGTATTTTATATAAGCACTAATAGATTTATTATGCTATTCTGGTTAAATTGTCCTTTGGATTGCTATTACATTATTGTCATATTGCCGTCATTTATCAGTCTCCTTTTAACTTTTGTATATCAGTATATGATTTGACTCGTTAAATTATGTGAGGGTGATGTTATGTTACTCATTTCAGTTTTTCAATTCAACTGCCCTAGAAGTTAATAAAATGCACTTTCTATGTTTTGCTTTCTATATCTTTGGAGGAAAGAAGGTAATCTATTGTATCTCTTTGATAGACTGTTATCCATGAGCTATAGTTACAGTTTTGAAATAGTAAACAGGCTTGGACTGGGTGGGAAGGCATCTTACAGTAGTTATTCAAATGCAATAATATTTATTTTTCATTTGAAGAATTCTGCTAAAGCTGTTCCAAACAAAGGAGTGTGTTATGTAAAAGAAATGTATGAGGTCTGGAAGAGTTGTTGAAAATTGAGACAATTAGGAAGCTATTCTTTCTAGATGATATTGTGAGAAGGGTAAAGCCGATTAGCCATTTAGCACTCTTTACTTATATGGTGTTCACTAGGAGATGTTAATGTTTATAAAATTCGATCTCTTTTATTATATAAAATCTGTGAGCATGCTCAGATAATTGTTGATTCTCTTTGACTACTTCATCCTCTTAATACTCCACCATATTAGGGTAAAAAGGATTTTCCTTTATTTTGCATCCAATTTTTTATTTTCCTATCTTGTAAAAGCTTACTTGTTCAATTAGTTAGATTACCTAGATTAAGATTGTAGCTTAGAAGATTGAAATTTATTTTTCATGTTTTTCTTTTAAAATTTTCTGCATCAGGTTCGCAACTATACTCCACCTCCGTCAATCAATAACAGTATTAAGGTAAGGAAAGATTCCTATTACAAATATTGTGCTCACTTTCCTTTTATTACCTGATGCTTATTTGTTTCAGGTAGTTGATGAGATTTATATCAGAAGAAATTTTTCCTCTGAAACTTATGCGTACTTGTGTGTCAAACTTTAACTTTTCCTGCTGCTCCAATACAATTACTTTATCTATTCTCTTCGTGGACCATATGAAGACGTGCCATAGCCTAAATTTGGGTTACATTTATCATAATTCTTCATAGAGACATGCTCCCTTAGTCCCTTTACAAATTACATGGAGCTTTAAAATCTCCTATACTAGTGCCTGATATTCCCAATGTTAATTTTTGTGGAAGTTATTGGAATGACTTTGAAACTGTATTTTTAATTGTTTCCTTGGTGATTTGATGGTTTTGGAATTTTCATATTGACTTTATCTGTTTGTGTTGATGCTTCATCTAGATGGAAGTGGGGATCGAGGATTGTTTACACATTGAATTTGAATACAGTAAAAGCAAGTACGTCAGTGAAAGTCCATTCCTCGACAAGAGTGTGTGTAGATTCATGCAACTTATTGTAAACTAAGTTGGAAGGATACTGATATGTTTATATTGGATTGCAAAATATTCAGGTATCATTTGAAGGATGTCATTATCGGCAAAATATATTTTCTTCTTGTTAGAATTAAGCTCAAAAATATGGAGCTTGAGATAAGGCGCCGAGAATCAACTGGATCAGGGCCTAATACATATGTTGAGACAGAGACCCTTGCAAAATTTGAGTTGATGGATGGTGCTCCTGTCAGAGGTACTCAAAATACTCTATTTCACATTATATGATTTGTACCTTTATATTTTTAATGTCACAAAGTGAGAGTCCTAGGCAGAGGACACTTACAGAACCATGCTTTTAAAGAATGCCTTCTACTATTGGTATTTGCCTTGATGATGTTCTATATTGATGAATTTGCTGAATTATTTACTTTCTAAAACAATCTGCGTGCTATGGTGCCACGGAGCTGGCTGACAACTGCACACTATAGTTGATAGGCAGACTGCTGCTTTCGTTGCAATATTATATCATTTTAGACTAAGGTTTCAAGAAATGATATTAACTGATTTACTGTTGTCTGATGCTGCAAAACTATCATGAAAATGCTAAACAGAAATAAATATTCTGATATTGATTTGAGAAGAGAAAAAAAAGGAAAATAAGTTACGGCAAATTATGAGTTCTAAATGAAAATGAAGAAGTTGATCGTTTCCCCACCCTCCATGGATGGGTTGCCAATCAAAAAAAGAAGTTGATTGTTGTATTTATGCATGTTCATCCTCGAAATCTTGCTTGCCTTAATTATCTGAGATACATAATGGGTATATATCTAAACTATGATAGCATTGTGCTGTATTAAGCTTAGATCAGATATTTCTGTGGAGTCATGTATCTCACCAAGGGTCATCTGCCCAGACTGAGGAAATTGTCTTAACTGGAGCTACTCCCAATGCTTTTGCAGGAGAATCAATTCCAATCAGACTTTTCTTGAGTCCATATGAACTGACGCCAACATATCGTAACATCAATAACAAATTCAGCGTGAAGTACTATTTGAATCTTGTTCTAGTGGACGAAGAAGATCGACGATACTTCAAACAGCAAGAAATCACTGTGTACCGGCTTCTTGAAACTTGATAATTTTCTTTCAAATCCAATGAGTTCAGACACTTGAATGTGGGAAAGAAGCGCAGAATACTTCATGACACATATATTGGAACACTTTCTGGCTCTCTGGTAGAAGATTGTATGCTAATATTGGGCCTTGTTCCTCTGTAATCTGCACATTAATGACTTGATCTTTGGAGTTCTTTTATTCATCAAGCACCTGTGGAACGACAAGCCATGACTAATCCGTGTACTTTCATCTTGTTAAGGAAGTCTTGGGCTGTTTTTGTGTGAACACAAGCGGTGGTTTTGCGACGGCATCATACATGCATCTCAGTCTCGTTTATCCATCATGTATTTTCCCTTCAATGAAAGAAAAAAAAATAAATCTGGGTTCGATCGTTGGCTCTAGGCTTGTTGAGTTGTTCAGAAAGTTGGCTTGCATAGAGTTTGTTTTCCTTTGTCAGCGCTTTAATCTTTATTTATGATAAATGAAAATTGCTTGTACTCTGTTTTATGTAACCATGTGTAGTATTTACGTGCATCAGTCTTTTCGAGGCTAGTCAGTTCATTCACAGTGACCCACTCCTCTCACCACGGATGTCAATTACCTTTCACCATTGTCAAAAAACTAAACAAATTAAACATTTAATAAATTACTATAATTAGAAAGAACTTTTTCTCCGATAAAGTCCATTAATAATAAACTGAGCTAGTGATCCTGAGCTGCTGCAGGCAATCATCTTGAGTTGGAAAGTGGGCACCAATCTCTGTTTTCCTTTCTTTTTGTTACAACATTTTCCGCTGCTCCGTGGGTATTAAAGCCTGCAGCATAGAATATGATCATTTACGATTTTAAGTGGTCTGAACCTTTTTTGGTCCCCATAATTTTAGGAGCTAAAAAACGTGAAGGATCTACCAATAACGATATTGACAACATGGAAGGCTGTCCAAATTGGACCAGATAACAGGAGTTTAAAGCTGTACCGGAATCATTGTGAAAGTTGCATGAATAAGAATTTATTTTACAAACTTTTGTCAAAAGCCTTTGCTGGCAGATTATGAAGGGGACATTTCCACAAAACTTCCTAGCATATTCTGCGAATATGCCCATGCAGACTTGGAACTCCAATGGGGTCTTTGGATTTCTCTTTCAAACAAAGAGAGCCAGAATTATTGCAATCTTTAATCTTATTATATTGTCGCATGGTAAGCGTCCACTATGGCATTGACATTGACTCCTACCAAACTTTCAAAAGTAGAAACCTCATTGACTTACAAAAGGCATAGAAACAGATTGGGGAACATTTTTCTCTAATGTAATTTCCAAAAAAGTTTGCTAAAGTTGCTTATACTCTTCCCAAAACTAAAGAAACTATTCACATTGTGAATGAAAAGCCCTTTTCCTGTCACTTCAATAAAATCATGTCATGTGTACTCTCACTAGTAATGATACTAAGACTTGTGTTTTCAAAAATCAGTCTTTCTTATTCATTAATTTTTCTTTCCTTATTTCCTTTCTCGCAAAATGATTTCCAATTCATTAATTTTTTTTCCCGTCTTCTCTCTCACACAAAACATTACTAGTTAATAATTCATGATGTTATCCAAGTATTTGGGTTTTGCCCTTTCTTTGTTTTTTATCTCTCTTTTATTGATCTCATAGCAAAATCTGATCCTTTGTATTGAAAGATCATCTCTTTGCTTCTCTTTGTGTTTTTGGTTTTGGTTTCTTCAACTTTTGTTTGGGTTTTCTCTTTTTGCTTTTTCTGGGAGGAAATCAAAGAAAAATCTTAATTCCATCAAATCTCAACTCAACGCCAGATTCATCTGCTCTTGTTACTAGAACAAGAACGAGCAACAAAAGGTTCATCTACTTTTCTCCTCGTTTTGATTCCTCAACCAACCCAAGACGATGATTCATCTAATTTCCCTGCTAGAACAATTTGTGAGAGAATGGAGAATGACAAGAGAGGAGCAAAAAAAATTAATGAATGGAAATGGTTTTGTGAGAGAGAAAGTAAGGAAAAAAATTTAATGAATGAGAAAAATGAGCTTTGAAATCAAAGAGTTTTAGTATCATTACTAGTAAGAGTACACATGACATAATATTATTTAAGGGGCAAGAAAAGGAGCACCCATAGGAGGCAAGAGATTTTCATTCCTACTACTATAGTATAACTTTGCAGAGTAAGAAACAAATGAAGACACGAGTTTTCTTTTTTTTTTTTTTTCAAATATCGGTAACCATTTATCATAATTGACATTTTAGAAGGGTAAACCAAGCCAGTGCATTCCATGAGAATCGTCAATGCTTTCCAACACTAATAACAGGGAAAACAATTGGAAGAACCATGGCTGTTTAATCATACAAGGAAAACAATCCCAAAAAACAAAAAGATAGGGACAAAAGAATGAAGGTATAGAGCAACTGAGGAACATTCAACAACAGCATGGACAATATACCAAAGTCATTACACTTGAAAAATGAGCAGCCATACATTTTACTTCACTTCTTGCATGTCCTCCTCGGTTTTCCAAACAACATCTTCGAGACAGGTCGAAAGGTTTTTATAGAACTGCGGAGGAAAAACAAATGAACGTTAACTGCCAGCAAAATATAATCTTCACTTTTGATCAAGTGACTTTAGGTCAGACAAAAAATCAACTGCAAGTAATATTGGATAAGGGACTTAAAAGACCACCAGACAGGTTCTTAAGAGCTTTTCTTCTACCAGTCACATTTCATTAAAACACCCTTTGAATCCACTGCCAATTCAATGGATGAATAGCACTATTATTTTCCGAAACAAACTAAACTAAATTTATTTTCGGCTGATACTTGGTTCCCAAACAAGTTATTATTAGGGAGACAAACTCATGCCCAGAAAGTAACAAGAAGCCAAGCATGCTCAGCTTTATTAATAACCCAGAGCCCACAGCCCCTTAGAGCAACCAGATTAGAGCAGATGTATTTAAAATTAGAACATCTGATCATAGAAAGAGAGATCTTGACCTCACTGACCTGATAAAACTTTTTGACATCTATGATGCTTGTGTTGCTCAAAGTATGATCTAACTTATATAATGTCATTGTGTCAATCTGAGTACTTGCAGAATGGATTTTATGCAATACACATTATTTACATCTATAGTTAGAATTGGATCGTGTAGTAAACAACCACAAATGCAACAACTATGACAGGAAGCAAAGTCATTTGGCATCCACATTTTCAACCAATTTTGTTTACTAAGCAAAAAGATCCCTCCATTTCCATTGGCTAAGAGCAATCAATCATTAGGGGACAATAAAATTATCTACTCTGTAACCAATGCCATGCCATTATATTACTCTCTTCAGTTTAACCAAATTGGAAAAACAGAAAAGGAAGGGAGAAGCACAATATATTTAAAAAGATGTAATGGAATTATAAAGAGAGAATTGCATTGTACCTTATGGAATTCCAATGTGTCCCCTTTTGCTTTTCTCACCTCAACCATATGTAAAGAAGGTGCCACTTGAAATATCTGATTGACATAATAAAAGTTAGATAAGTTAAAAAGTAAGGCCAGACTTGATTAAAATGATGCTGTAAGTTACCTCTGTGGCCACATTAAGGTTTCCTTTCCTCCCAGCTTTCAAATTCTCAAGTCTCATCTACATAAAATAACAAGAAATAAGTAAATTTGATATATAGATTTCAATGATTACCTTTATAGCACGTATAAGACTCACCTTGTAGTTTTTCTTGCGGACATCAAACCCGAGAGGCTTTGCAGCTTCCTCAATCTTATGGATAATCTCATTAGCAGGACATTTAGATGTAAACCTTGTTTCTCTCTTAAATCCCTGCAGAAAATAGAACAAATAATAGTTAACTTTAATGTGAAACTCAATTTTCATAATTGTAAATTTTTTAAAGTTTGTCATTGCAAACCCCTAATAGAGTCTGCCTGCTAAGTGCTAACCAACTAATTTTGTCACAATTTACTTATATGGTCTTGATAAGCCAAACCCGCATTTAGATTATTTGATAATAAGGGTGTGTTTGTTTTTTGAGAAAACATTTTTGGGACATATAGGTGTGTGGATGACTGAAAATGAAATTCTAAAAGAAAATGTTTTACAAGTCAACAGGTAAAAGACCTGTTGACTCCGGAACTCAAGGCTCAAAAAAAAGACTGCTGTTAAAAACAAAGTCGCCTTTGATAGCAGTGAGTCTTTTGAAGATGAGAGCATAATATACATGTCAAAAAATTGGGAGAGATTGCATCTGCGATCAAAACGCTAAGTGATGATAAAAACGATGATAGTCTTCTTTATGTTCAATTGATGAGTATGGATGGATATGACAGCACTTTCTTATCCCTGCATTTGATAATTTAATGGAGCATGAGAAGCAAGCAAGGACATTCATGGTCAGGAGCAACAATCTAAAAAGAGCTTGGCTAGACAATTTCATGTTTGCCAGGGCTAAGGATTAGATTTTATGATTAGCAGGATGTATGTTGGACATTTGTAGGATGCTTAATTATATAGATTTTTAGGTATTTTATTATTATATCATATGTTTATGTTGAAAATTAAATTTTAGATCTTATACACAATTAATGAATATTAATATTTTCAGACTTCTAAAAATGTTATAGAATTTGTATTTATATAATTTTTATAATTTTAGTGACAGATGAAAATATTTTCCAAAAGATGATCCAAATAACGGAAAATATTGACAGTTTATCCAAACAACAAAAAACATTAAATTTTCCTGTAAAATAGTTTACACAGAAAATGTTTCCATCAGCAACTTATTGTACAGTTACCAAATGGACAAAATTTGCTTCACAGCTTCTAAGCTAGTAGTTTGTAGATCTAATGCATTTACATGTCACAGCATAATATTAGTAGCCAAAACTTTAAAACAGCCAGCATAGCATTAGTAATTATCTTTCTCAAAGGGCACTATAAATCTGCTTTGAAATCACTAAAACATGATTTTGCAACAGCCAATCCAGCTTCAGTTTATCCACCAAAATCTTGAAGACCTTTCAGTGCAATATTAGAAACATTTTATGCTTTCATAAGCCAACTTTAAAAACTTCCAAAACACAATTAAGAAAGTAAAATCAAGAAAGGAGGCCCGATATTTATCAGTCTAGATAGCATAATAACATCTGATAATATTCTATCTGACATTGGACATACTGCCCATTTCCCTTCTGAAAATAAAGTCAAGCAAAGGAAAGATAACCACCACTCTTAGATAGTTTATATACAAAAATAAAGTCAAGTAAAGGAAAAGCCCTTTAAAATGCAAACCTGTTCTGCATCAAACAGATTCCCGAGGTTTAACCCTTTTGACATAGAAATTAACTCAAAAGCATTCATAGCTGCCGGTTGTTCTTCTCTCTTTTCCATTACATGGTGCTCCTGTTACAGAACCAAAAATGCAAACTTATTAACAAAAACGGTTAAGAAGCACCAAATATAAGAGCAACTTTCCAGTTTACAGATGTCAATTGTTCTATAAGTTTGGGAAAGACCTCAACCAACTTACTTCAGAATCCTTAAAGACAGCTTCTACATCATCTAAGTTTGTATCCTCTTTCTCCTCAAACACAGGAGGTTTGTAATTTTTTTTAAACCATTCATCTTCCAAAATTTCAGGAATGGTAATTCGCTGCAACACAAGAAAGACAGATGCACACGTTAAGACTAGTCAATAATTACAGAAAAGGAAGGCAAAAAAATTTGTTAAGGCAAGTAATTTCCTAGCATTAAAGGCCAACATAAATATGCATGGCGACATGCATGGAGGCCCAACATGCTACTCAAAGATTTAAATAGTGGAGCGCTTATAGGTAGTTGAAGCATCTTGTCATGTACATACTTTAGCCTTGGCCAATGTGCAGGCAGTACCCCAGATGATGAGCTAAAAATAATTGCTTGATCATTAAGAAAATTCAAAGGGCAGGGTTATTTGGCACTTAAAAACTCCTAATGCTATCACCGAATCAACAACATAAAAAATGCCTTGCGTTTCTAATCTTAGTTGTGGCCCTACAAAGAGAAGAACAGCATAATCTGAACCTTGTACCTGAAACCCACCTGGTGGGAAAAGGCTTTGATTTTTGTTAGGAGTTGTAATTAATGAAACTGGTCTTTTATTATGTATTCTTGTAGTTGGCATTGTTATACATTGATAATATAGGTAGAGATAATCAACTTCAAGTTTTGGATAGATGATCTAAATAGATAAGACAGTAAAATCCATTGTTGGATTTGATGGAAAAATGGATCATGCAAAAAGAATGAAGGTATAGCATGGAGTAAGAAAACCCTTACATCAGCTGTGAGTTATCTTTCCTTAGAAGTTATATTCAGACTGCCAATTACACATCTTTAAGAGAGGGAAAGAGGAAAAAGAGATAGAGAAGATAGAATTATACATTTTTAATATCTATTTTGCAGATTTCTTGGACTTCATCTCCCACTCTTGTGCCCACTAACAAGAAAAATGAGTTAAACTATATTGCTGATGGAAGGGCAAAAGACAAAAGAATAAAAGAACAGTTTACAAACCTCACATTACATCACTAAGGAACCATGTTTCAGGATAATATGTATTATTTCATAGAATTATTGCACATAGGTAAATGCTCATTTTTAACCAAGACAATTTTTTGATTGGACACTGTTCTTTTTCTTTCATTGATAGAGGTTTCATTTTCATCTAGTTTTAGAAGCTTTAAATTATCATAGTAATATGCAAACAAATCAAAGTATGGGACTTGGGTAGAATAACTTACAGTCACTGGGTTTGGATCCAAGATTCGAGTTATCAATTTCATTGCACTAAAAGAAAGCCAAGGGGGGCAAGTGAATTCAGCAGCTGAAATCTGCACATTTGGCAAATGGGAGTGAAAAACAGGTAATGAATAACAAGAAATAACTGTAACATGCAATTAGGAAATGCTCACTTTTTTATACAGGGTCATAAGATTAGGATCATCAAAAGGCAAGTAACCTGCAAGCAACACAAAGAGTATCACGCCACATGACCAAAGGTCTGCAGTTGCCCCATCATAGCCTCTATCATTAAGGACCTATATAGGAAGACAGAAAAGTGTTAATAATCAGGGTTTCTGAGGGGTTACAAATGCTGGAAGAAAATTAGTGCGATTAAATAATTGTCCATACCTCAGGAGCAACGTAATTTGGTGTTCCACATGTAGTGTGAAGGAGACCATCGTCCTATAAATTCAACTTTGGATTAGAAATATATCTTGATGTTCTAAAAGCCATCAAAGCCGAATAGAGATGGAACAAGCCTTACGCACATTGCGGTATCAGTTACATCAGGAGTCGGAAGTTTAAAAAAACTTAAACAAATAATTAAGAAGTAGATCAATTACTAGGATGACAGAACATCTACGATTTTGAACTAAGCATGCTAGCGTGCCTTTCCTTGTTCACAAGCTTTAAGGTCACCAAGCCCAGATTTAATCAGTTCATCATTTTTGTTCAAAAGTACTGGTTGAGAATTACATACAGTTACATAGGGAGAATGATCTATGAAGAGCATAACGGATGATATAAAATTTATCTCTCATCAAGAATAATCAAACTACAAAATGAGGGCAACATCTATCACATGCTTTAATAGTTTGACCCTTAACCATATTATCTCAGTAACAATGCCCTATTCACTCTTTTCTCAATTAGTAGTATAGATTTTCTAAATATCAGAGCCTTATTCAGACACTAAGTAGTGGCAAGTAACTTGAAATGGTGATGTCTAAGAATCACTATTTTCTATGGTAAAAAGAAGATGATTGATTCTATCACAGTTGTATCAGAAACCAATTTATCTCTTTCATATGTTCCCTCAAAAGAAATTAAAATTAAAACTTCCACCATATATGCTATGCAACAATTCAACATACTTATATCGAACTTGTCCTTCCAACAACACTGAAGGCACTAAGGTCATGTTATTATTTCCAATCAACTGCTAAAGCAAATAGCTTTGTTCTAAAATGCCCAAGCTTGACACTAAACGAGATGCTAAAAATTACATAATTTTTCATGCTTTTCGTGCTTTTTGTTTAAAAACATATCGCTAAAAGATGCTTCCACTCTCCACTAATTATCACCAATATTAATTTGCCTTTCCACTCCACAACAATTTTACTTTATAACGAATTCACCTTCAACAAGATCAGGATAGAACAAAGATGAATGACTTTGAAGTTCAAAGGAAAAGGTTGACGACTGAAGAAAGCTTGAGCTTTCAGATATCAAAGTTTCATAATTACCCATCACTTAGTAGGAACAAAACAGGATATTGTAATTACCCTGACTTGCTGAGATAGTGCACTCAATCCAAAGTCAGAAACTTTGAGGTTACCATAATCATCCAACAGCAAATTTTCGGGCTGCAACAAAATCAAGGTAAGTATAAATGAACTTCATTTCCTAACTGTATAACATGCATGCCTGCACGCATATATTAATAAATGTATGTATGTATATAAGCATAAACATGTACGTCCCTCAAGAGTGCCAACTTAAAATACCTTTAGGTCCCTATGGTAGACACCCCTGCTATGGCAATAATCAACAGCATTGATGAGCTGATGGAAATATCTCCGTGCTTCTTCTTCTCTCATCCGTCCATGGTTTACCTTCAGAATTAAGAAATAGTTAAAGGCCTGTGTTATATGGGCATACAGCAATGTGAATGGAAAGAAACTTTTATCTGGTAGTAGTTAGCTATAATTCAAACAAGGCTACAAACATATAAGCAATACCAATACCAGCAAACATATGACTGCAGCTCAAGGATTAAAGAGATCCATGAGCAGGAATGGAAACCTGATGTAATATGCAGTCACAAGTTCCCAATTATATGCTGATGCTTGAGCTTCAACAATTTATCTAATATGGAAATCCCTGGTTGTCAAAATAGTAAAAGTAAAAACAATAAATTCTCGTTGTGAACTCACAATTTTGTCAAAGAGCTCTCCCCCGGTAACGAATTCCAAAACAATATATATCTTTGTCTTGCTTCCCATCACCTGAATGAAAACATTTAAAATAATTTGAGACAACTATTTATAGCTTGTTGCTTGTCTGCTTTTCGAGGCATCACCTTAAAGAAGTTGTTACACACACCCACAGCTCTATCAATCTTTCTACCAATACATGACTGAAATTTTAAATGATGGTTTTTCCAGATACTTAATTGCTCTAGATTAACAATTATTAACTGATTCAAGAGGATTCTACTCCTTTGAAGTCTCAAACTATGAAGATCAACAGCCAAGATAAAACCATGTAGCAAGAAGAACAAATAACGAGATTTTCTTAGGTTGGTTCGACACAGGCATTGCAAGAGATTAATTATTGAAAAATAGTTTGCAGGCTGCTTTTTCATCTTAATCACATATCAAGCGCATGTAGACTGGGTGCACACTTATGCACACAGTTCACAGATGTATACATGCAAGCTACAAAGGAAAATAATAGAATCTTACTTTAGGTTAGGATACACTTAAGATTCCAATACTCAGTTTTATTCTAAAAATCAATAACCATAACTAGCAAATAAAAGCCAAAATTTTCAAATGCTAAAGCTTGGAGGAAGAAACATGAGATCTCAATTATTGAAGCTAATTATCATGCTGCCCATATTACTACTGGAGACAAAAGGTAAGAAAGGAGGCTTAGGTTCACAATAGAAGATTCTGGAAAATAATATCAATTCCTCGACGCGATACTAAGAACTATAGATTTTACATCATAAATACTCCAATGAATACAACAAGAAAAAGAAAAGCAAGTGCATGGTGCATATATCCTCACTTTAGCAAAGGCACACTTATAACAACACACACACAGAGATAGAGAGAGACCTCATATAGACGGACAACATTTGGATGTTTTATCAACTTCATGGTTGCTATTTCTCGCTTGATCTGCAAAAGCAAGCAGTAAAAACTTCTGATACAATATCTGAATTATACAAATTCTTTTCATCAAAATGTGAGTACAATAGTTTTGACAAACTATGAAAATAGCCGGCTAGAAGCATGGAGGAGGTTTTGAGCATTATCGGAAAAAAAAAAAAAGAAGCTACGGATAAAGTTCCTTTCAAATCACAAAGAAACAAGAGTTACGAAAAAGATTAACAGCAGAGAAAGAGAATGGTTCTAAAGAAACCTGCTCAGCCATCTTATGCTTAAGAACCTTCTCTTTATCAAGGATCTTAAGTGCTACAGGTTCCCCAGTCTCAGAGTTTCTTGCAAACTTCACTTTAGCAAATGTCCCCTCGCCAATGGTCCTTCCCACCTCATATTTACCCACACGACGCTTAATTTTAGGTTGACTCATGCCTCTTACTATAACTTGAATTTTCTTCTACTAGTTCTGCAACCTTTGAAAACCACTTCCTGAGACAAATATTAAGATATAACTGCGAGACCAACATTCTTGTAATTCAATTTAAACAACATCAATCAAAAAGGAAGAAAGAAATACCACATTAACACAAAAGAACATACACAAAACAGCGAAACATGTAGATGTTAAAAAAAAAATTTAAAAAGAAAAAGATAAAGTCAAAGACCAGGTGAATATCCAATCTAAAAATTCCCCACTGACACAGCAAAAGAACCTCCTCTTGAATATGCGAGTATCAATCCAACCAGAAACTTACTATAGAAAGCTACAAAAAAGAAAAAGAACCTTTAGCTGGAAAGTCGGTTAGAGGCAAGAAAACTAGTTTAACTCATAAATCGATGGAGGAAAGATGAAAAGTAATTGGCATTGAAATGCCATCAAATCATAAAGAAACAGAAAAAAGGGTACATCCCAGATAAGTAAAACAGCCAAATGAGTAAGCTATCCACTTACAAAACTCAAGTGATTTTGGTAACAACCTGAAAAAATGCAGATGCTTCTCTTTTACCAAACGATCGATTTCCCCGGCAGCAGGAATCAGGCCAATTCAGGCAAAAGACACCAATCCTTTCGTACCAACTTTATATAGAGTACCCAATAACTAGTAAATTGAAAAAAAAATGATTTAGAGCATATAATATTTCCCACGAGAATCATTTTCTGCAGCTTAAAAACCACAAAGTTTTTGTTGGTATTAAAAAAATATGAACCTCAAAAAATCATAACAAAACAATTAAATAATTTAAGCTGTGAAAACTATGGATAGCCCCCCCAAAGTCATGAAACTTAAAGTTTATACCAATCAGCCCACACTAGAAACAAAACCAAGGAAGATAATCAAAGTCTAAAATTTCCGCTGATACAAGAAATTAAAGAATTACCCAGAAAAATAAAACAAAATTCGGAGCTTGATTTGATTTCAGAAGTGCTGAGGCCTAAAGGGTCAAGAAACATCAACCAACAGTCAAAATTTAATCTTTCATGTACGTAAACGTACAAGATTCAAAGCAAATTCAATAACGGCACTACAAAGTATATAGTATATATTAAATCATAAAAGAATAATACGAAAGAGTATAATAATTAAAGAAGCGAATTATTGGAAGAAAGAGAAAAAGCAAAGGGATATACTTGAGAAGATGGATAAGAATGAAAAACGAGTAGGAAGGAATTGTGGAAATTTTGGCTTTTGAGTTAGCTCAAGTGTCAAATATAAAGCGAAAAGCCGGTTTGAAAGACTTTGATCATCATCATCTGAGCTGCTGCTACAACCAGACAACTTTTGCCTACTGCTACTTTTAATTTTTATATTTATAAACTGGCAAATTTTGATTATTAATATTCAACCGTTCTTAGTCGTTTAACAGTGCCAGTAATAATAATGGAGCATGACATGGAAACGTTGCTGTTGGCGGTGAAGGTGCAACTGTAAAACATAAATGATTGTAAGAGGAAGACAATTTTGGGCCACGCGTTTGGACATGACCCCTGTCTCCATCAACCCATTCTTGGTCTAAATATTACCTTGTTCATTGCATTGATGTCTGAAAGGCAAGTGGCCCCACAAAGGCTACCCAACAAGATTATTCCCTCAGACAAAGGTTACCATTTTTAATGATTGTTATTACTTAGCAATTCAAAGTCGACTTTGCATTATCTAATCTTAGTTTAAATTTTTATGTGTTTGAAGGAATAAAATATTGAAAGTTGCCTGTAAGCTAAATGGTTCAAATAAGTAAGTCTTTAATTTAAAGTTACTTGCAATTCTGAACAAAAGGAAGAAGAAGATCGGAGTTGGTGTGAACAGCTTTGTTTTTTTCTCATGCAGTGAACACAGGCTAAACGTCCCTTTACCTCCAACCCGACCTCACTTCATAAATTCAACAATAAGCTTAATAATCAAGCTTAGAAACAAATTAATTCATATTAATTCGAAGAAGTAACACTAAAAAAGATTTGAGGACAACGAAAGGGTTAGAAACAAATTTGATGACAGTGAAAGCTTAGAAACCATGAATGATGAAGATTTTGGAGATTGGGTTAAGAGAGATGGAGAATATTTTAGGAGAGAAAAATAGAAAAAATAAAAGAAACGGGAAACACCTGAGTTGGGTTGTGATTTGCTTTGGTATTTTTCATGAAGTCAAAAAGATAAAGTTTTTTCTTTTTTTTCGCTTGGCGGCTTTTCCGTCTTTCTGTGAACTGAGACAATGACTAAAATAGAATGGAAAAGGTCACCATAGACATTGACTTCCTTTTTTTGTGTTATTTTTTAAAAATTATTAAAAAGTAAAATTACAATTCATTAAAAATAAACGAATGAATATTACTTAACACCAATTCTACTGTAACTCATCTATATAAAAGTAAAACCCTGCATTGTGTTTTTCGATTTAGTTTTTTAATCTTCAAAAATATTATTATTAACTTTTCAAATCCAAATGTGTGTTTTTTTTAAAAAATAAATAATATAAATTATGAAATATAATATTTATTATAAGCTTTATTTAAAAATATTTTTTATTATAATTTTAATTATTTGTAACCAATTTTTAACATAACTTGACAATAATGCCTATTAAACAATTTTAAACAAATTAAAATAATTTCGATTTTCTCTACTCAAATAAAAATTTTAAAATTAAATTTCAATTTTTCCTCTTATCAATATTTTTTATCTCACCATCCAATGAACAAGAATGACATTAAGTATGTATTTTAAGTTCTTAGATTTATTGGTTTGTATTCATAGAACCTTAAAATTAAAGAATTGAAATTTTGATAACTTAAACTTGATCGTGAATAGGCAAATCAATTAATTATTAGATATTACATTACTAAGTTTTAGACATTATGTCACTAGTTTTTAGACATTAAAATATTAGTTTTTAGACATTATGTGACTTAATTATTACGTTTTTTATTTGTATGTATTATGTGACTTAGATATTACGTGACTGATTTTAAGCATTTGGTAATCGATTTTTAAGCATTGCTTGATTAGGTTGTAGGCATGGTATGACTAATTTTTAGGCAATGTCTAAATTACATAATGTTTAAAAATCAATTTCATAATGTCTTATCAACTAGTTATACAATGTTTAAAAATTAATAACGTAATACTTAACAATCTGTAATATAATACCTAAAAACTACCAAAACTATTAAATTTTATTGAATAAAGTCATCAATTTCAAACAACATACTATATTATATTTAATAACATAATCAACAAATATACCTACTTGGTGAAAAACGTTTAAAATACTCAAAAGTTTTTTTTCATGTATCAAAAATCTTTTCAAAAGATTCAAAAAAAAATTTTTGTATATCAAAAATCATTCTAAAATGTTCAAAACGTTTAAAATTTTTTTCTTCTATCAGGCAATATTCCAGAAATGAATGATTTGCTAAAAAAGTTTAAAAAATATGAATCAATTTGAGGTATAGATTCAAACATATGAATCAATTTTATTAAAGATAATTTTATTTAAAATTAATTTTTTAACTAAAAATAATTAAAATTATAAAAATAACTATTTTTAAAACACTTTTATATATGGGAAATATTTTTGAAAAGAACCCTAAGAATCAAATGTATACGTAATTCTTACTATCGTACAAGGTTCTATGGCCATTCTTCTTTACAGTGTTGTACACGGAGATGTCAATCACACCTAAATTTGGTGGGAACCCGATTCCCCGTCCCAATGAGGCAGGTTCAATGGATAAAAGACGGGAACGGAAACGAGGGTGGAGGTTGGGGAGAAATGAATTCCCTGATGGCGATGGGGGCGGGAATAGGGGAGAAATGAATTCCCCGACGATCGGAGCAGGGATTGAGAATGTATCCCCGCTTTGCCCTGCGCCCATTATATACACATAATTATATAATTATGAGTTATAAATTATATATTTCGGTACTTGATTAATGCTTGACTTTGTTCTCATTTATAAAGTTTATTTACTGAAATTTTATAGTTTTAGATTTATTTATAAAGTTTATTTGGTGAACTTTTATGATTTTGTATATATATTTGTGTAGTTGTATTTGGTATTTTGTACTTTGGAACTTTTGATAATTTTACTTTGTTTTTATTTGAATTTTTATTTGAAATTGTCAAAATTTTATTACATTATTGAATTTAGTTTAAATTTATTCTTAATTAATTATATTAACTAAACATGATAAAAATAAAATATTAAGTATTTACATTTTTATTTTATAAAAAAAAAAACCAAAGCGAGGGTAGAATTTTCTGCGTCCCTACTAGTTCCCTGTGGACAAGGATGGGGACAGTGAATGCATTCTCCAATCCGAAGCTAGATTGAATGAGCAATGATTTTGGAGATTTATTAGTTGACATGGGGTGAGTTAATTACTCTGAACAAAATCGTCAATAATTTTGTTTTATCTAATTTTTTTTAATTTTAAGTTTTTTATTTTTATAAATAATAAATAAATATTTACTTATCTTCATACATATTAATTTAACTCGAGCGGTGTCTTTGATGACACTTGACATTTTGTACGTTGACACATGGCAACTTCTTCTTTTTTTTTTTAATCTCAAAGTGTGACATTTTAAATTTTGTTAATCTTTTTTGGTGGATTATTATTAATTATATTAGGTTTAATTTAAAGTTTTTTATTTGGGTTTATATTTGACATTTACATTGGTTAAGAGTGTTGGTCTTTAGTTGTTCTAAGCTCGTTGAGTCTTTCTTCTTGTAAATGTAATTTTTATAGTAAATCGGGTTTGGCTAGGTATTTAATTTTTGGTTTTATTGGAATTTGTATTTGGTATTATTAAAAATTTGATAATTATTGTTGAATTAAAAACATTTATTGGTAGATTTATATTATATAGAGTATCAAGCAAACTTTCGTCAATACAAATAATGTCACAGTAGAAGCTGACGAAGGACGCGTCATGTCAAAGTAGAAGCTGACACTGGAAATGAGACACCGCTTTCTTTTTGTCTGGAGTTGTTGAACACGTCTCAGTCAGTAAATATATAACGTAACAACCAGGTTGGAGTGAATTGGTGGACTTAAGAGAAAATATCTAAGGAAGGATCAGCCTGCACCGGGTGCAAACATATTTTGCTGCCACTGTGTATCAGTGTTTAGTGACAGAGTCAGAGAGTGGGAAAAACCAAAGGGCAAGGGTGGCGTATAAGATGGTAAATGTTTTCATATACACTAACTAATTGATTATTCACTTGTTATTGCCGAGTTAAATTTCATTGAGTAAATTTAAAATATAGTTTTTGTAATTTATTTTTTAAAATTGTTAAATTTTTTGTTCATGGAGAATATAGTTTAAATTTTTTTCTATTTTTGAAAATATAAATTGTAAAATTTGTGTATATATTATTTTAAATTATAAATTTTTTCAAAAGAAACATTTAAAAAAAAATAAAGAACAAAATAAAAGAGAAAAAAATTAATGATAATAAGGTTTCATACTTTTTTCATTATTTTATTCTTTTTACTTCCTCTTTTCTCCTATTGTTTCTTGTACGAAAAAATCTAAAACATTTTAATCACATTAAAAATCCAAACATTTAGCTCAAATATATATGCTTGTAGACTTTTTTTTTTTTCCCAAAAATAACCCTAAATGATAACTCTTTTGTTTGAAGTATTTGTTTGAAAATATTTAGGAAAATTGGTAAAGAAATAAAGAATTAAAGAAACAATGGAAAATAACAAAGAAAAAGTTTTAAAAATGCTTCAAACATATATTATTTTTTAATTTTAAAATATAAAAATTTATTCATCAAAGTTTACTATTTGATATTTTTGAAAGGTTTTCTCAATTATATATTTTTTTAAAAGAAATTATCTAAAAGGAATGTGAAATGACGTGAGAAAACAAATGAGAATAACAAAAGAAATTCAGATTTTCATTTTACTTTTTTCCCTTTTAATAAGTATGTTATTCACCTTATTCCTCTTTTCCTTTTTTCCAAAAGTGCTCAAAATGTTTTTGATTAATTTTATAAAAAAAAACAAATTCATTGACTAAATGTATATACTTGATTATGTTTTTTCTCAAGTCATTCTAAATTATGTTATTTTCATTTGAATATACTTCATAAAAAAATAATAAAAAATAAAGAAAGAAAATTAGAAAAGGTCCAATAACCAAATACTTTTTTTTTTATTTTGTTTTCTTGCCCATTTTTTTTCCCATTTTTTCTCTTCTATAAACTAAATACCCGTAGAAATCCTACTTTAGAATCAACATATTATAGACAAAATTTCAATAAACTACGATA